TGCTCGACGCCGAGGACGACGCGATCTGCGCGACGGGCCTCTGCGACGCGGTGCTCGGCGGCCACGACCACGCGGTCACGGCCCGCGCCTCGAGCGGCGTGCCCCTGGCCAAGGCGGGCATGGACGCGACGCACGCCGTCGTCATGGACCTGTCCTGGAGCGACGCGCGGGCGGCGACGCCGGCGATCCGCACGACCGTCGAGCGGACCGCGGACTTTGCGCCCGACGCGGAAATCGCCGCGCGCGTCGCGTCGCACCTCGCCAAGGTCGAGGCCATGGACGAGATGGTGTTGAGCTCCGTGCGGCGCGTCCGCCGCGACCTCTTCCCGGGCCTCATAGTCGACGCGGCCGCGGCGGCGCGCGGCCGCCGCGCGTCGCTGCGGCGGAGCGCCGCGGACGCGACGCCGCCGCTGACGTCCGTCGGCGTGCGCAACGGCGAGCGGTCCATGGCGACGCTCCTGGCGTCGATCGTCGCCGCGGAGCTCGGCGCGGACTGCTGCGTCCTCGAGGCCGGCGGCGTCCGGGGCAACGCGACGTACGAGGCGAGCCTGACCTTCGCGCACCTCCGGGCCGAGCTGCCCTTCGAGAACCTCATGGCCGTCGTGCCCGTCGACGGCGCGTCGCTGTCGGCCTTCGTCCGCGACTCGCGCGACCGGCCGGACCTCCGGAGCCCGCGCGGCTACGCGTTCGTCCTCCACGGCGACGTCGGCCTCGCGTACTGCCCGGAGCGCAAGGCCGTGACGACGGTCCGCGGCGAGCCCCTGGACCCGGACCGACTCTACACCGTGGCGACCTGCGTCGACCTGGGCTTCGGCTCCGGCCTGTGCCGAAAGCAACCACTGGTTTGGGTGGTCCTGACCAAACTTGAGAATTCTCTAGCTCGGTCAAATCAAAGTCGATTCGGCTGATTCTTGGACGGATCGATCGCTCTCGTCGAGTTCTCGAAGCCCAGCCAAAAAGCTTGTGTCAAAACATTCGAATACGCTCACATTGAAGTCGGGTTGAAGATTTGGTTTCGGCACAGGCTCCGGCAAGAACGCGGCCATGGCCGCGTACGCGGCGCGCCACGGCGACCGGCTCCCGGACCGGGACGCGGCGATCCCCGCGAAGACGCTCGTCATGAAGTACCTCTGCCGCGAGCTCTGGAAGCTCTTGCCGGCCTTCGACGACGTCGACGCGGACCGC